AATTCTTATCCAAAAATACAAAATGGAAGAAAGAGTTAAGATTGAACACAATCTTGCTACTCAAGCTGTGTATGAACATTTTTTATATATATTTATTTGCTTCTTTTCCATTTTGCATTTACTTGTACTTTTACTTTCAATACTTAAGCACGTTTAAGATTTAAAAAATACTTTTCGTACTTAAGTACAATTAATATCACATACTTTAAGACTTTTACTCAAGTAATATTCTAAACGGTGACTTCAACTTCTACCAAAGTCATTTTCTGGTAAGATATCTGTACTTTTACTTGAGTGTGGCTTTCAGGTACTTTATACACCACTGTATTTAAGTAAATCAGTCTGAAATCTAAAATAATATACTTAGATTTTACTGCTTAAGCTTTTCTGTGTATTGAAGTTTTGTGCTAATATGCTTGTGCATCTGATGTTCTCATTTGTAGTAAAACAAAATTAAACTGTAATCAGAACAGAAAAAAATAGAAGAAGAAATTATCTCTGTATGTGGCACGTTATGTACAAAACAATTTTAGTAAGTTTAGAAATATAGTTCTAGTCATTTATTTAAATTACTAAAAAAAAAACAAATTTGCACAGGAATTCATAGTTGGCACATTCCAAGGTGTTTAATTTACACGTATTTTATGTATTATGTTTAGTTCTTTAAAGACAAGTTTTAATTCACACCTCCAGTCTGTCTTAGTCACAACCTTGGGCATAACATATGTGAACCGCTTGTTTCCCCTTCTTTAAAACATCCCAAACCATTTTATATTATTTTACTTTATTAGTTGTTTTAATTTGTTGTTAGGCTATAAAAAATAAATATTATACATTTATTATTTTATTTACTTATTTTTTGTTAACCGGTGAAAACTCTTTGTAAACAAGTTGACTTTAATCAGAATTATCTCTACCATTAATATGGTATTAGACTTTTTAATTAAAACTGAATTTTTATTTGAATTCTACATCATTTTGAGTCATTATAAAATTGATGGCTTTATAATTTTTATTTACTTATGTGAATTTCAATGTTTTAATCTGATGTATTTTCTGCATCGGTTCAGTCCTTGTTACCTCAGCTTCATGGATTCAGTCCTCTAAAAACAGACCAAATGTGGCAATGTGCATAAATTATGTCCATAATTTATACAGAAACAATTCTATGTGTCTCTTCAACATAAAGCATAAATGGAAGCATTACTTAAAATGTACAAAGCAGAAGTGATCCATCTCATAATTCATTATTTCATAATCAAGTTGTGCTTTTATACATTTAAGTATGTCTTTTTTGGATATACTGTATACACAAGCCTCATAATATGTAATAAATGAATGCTGTAGAAACAATTATGCTTTTGGTGAGTTTTGTGAGGTCATGTGGAAAAGTGAGCCCTTTCTTTACACTGAAATGTGTCTTACTTTAATGCTAATGTAAAGATTAAATCAATCCCATTACACCTCCTCACTGTTCTCTTCTGATCACATAGGTGTCATTTAAAGCATATTGACTACTCTAAATTAATTTCAAACCTACACTCTCACTCTCTATCGCCATCCAAGCAAATTGTAGCATAAATCTCTGACTAAATAATGAATAGACATGTCAGCCAATCCTTTCATGCCCTCACCTTATCTGTATCTGTATCTCTATCTTCAGCATAATCCCCTATCTCTGTCCACAGAACTGTATGTAATGGTCCACCCTGATACCTTGCAGAGACATACAGGAGTGGTCATAAATCTATTCAGGCTTATTTACAGCCTTTGCTGTAGTCAGCGCTTTGAAAGGAACAAATCCTCGGAGTTGCCTTTGCCATCTGTAGAGCTCTCTAGCCAGTGCCATTCTGCTGGCCTGCTCGACAGGGAGAGATACGACAGAGATGGACCCAGTGTTGACACGAGCTGTGCATTCTGGTTTAAATGGCTTGTCTTGTAGTCATTTTTGAAACCTTTGCTTTCGAAACAACACAGAGGCGAAGGACACGGGCACATGGCTGAGTTATTGTTATGGTGAGAGAGTTATGGCAGTGTTAGGCCAGACCCCACAGGCGGCTAACTGTTATGGTTCCTAGAACAACAAAAGTTAGAGCTCAGGTTCTTATCAGGGAAAATGCAATGATGTGACTCAAGGAAAGAACAGAAGCTCTCTCACAGTGAAATCGAACCTCGTTTCAAATCAGTGATCATTAATTAGCTCTTTCTTCATACGAGCATCCAACCAACAGACAATGCTCTGTTTTTGGAGTATTGTCACAAAATACTGCAGGGAATTTAAGGAAAACTCCTTCCGCAAACAATCAACCTTTCATTGTCATCTCTGACAGTTCTCGTTTAAAATGTGACATTTGACCTAATAAATTATAATTAAGTAATTAGTGCTGTCTACATTGATTAGTGCTGTCATTCATGATATACTGAACCTGTCCTTTGTATTAGGAGACACATGTTCATTTCATGATCAGATCAAAGTGAATTTTAATGGCATATTTTATTTCATTATCTTGATTGTTCTGGTATTGTTCCGTTATTATGCCTAGGTTTGTGTCTGCCTTACACATTATTTAAATAGCTATTTGGAGCTTTACCGTTTGGAATTCACTCTGTTATTGGTCAGTTGGACTGAAGATTTAGAGTAGTGGTTCTCAACCAAGGGTCGGGACCCATAGGGGCCACATCTAACTTCTAAGGAGACCTTAAAATGATTTAAAATAAGACAAAACAGGCTTTAAAATTAGCTAAAAACAGCTAAAAATCAGGATGTAAGCTGGCATCACATTTACTAATTTAGTTGTTCCCTTTAACTGTTGTCATTTTAATTTAAGAATATATATATATATATATATATATATATATATATATAGTACTTGTCTTTGCATAAATCAATTAATGCAAAATTAATATATAAAAAAAAAAAAAATTGTTTTAATTGCTTTGGGTATTTTCACCCCTCTTAATGTCTCCAGATAAGAAATCCCTCTTTAAAAGCAACTAATCGTGGAGGAATTTTGAAAAAATTACATTATGAATGTCAAATTTCAGCAAAAGCAAACCAGATGGGTATCACGTCATAAAATATTTTAATACAACTGAATTTGTATTTAACGTGATCACAATTTAATAAAAACATTGTAAGTTACTAATTATAACCCCTTCATTTCCACGGTTATTCAAACAGCAAAGAAATGAAAAAAAATGAGCAAAGAACATTATCATTAATGTAACATTAATGTAACATTATTTACATTATCCCTTCAGTCTAGCATGAGTGTAAACATTCTCAGAAACTCCCATTATAATCAATGAAGCTGTCTATACTGTGAATTGAATCCCTTACTTACACAACATCGTGCATACTTCTGCACGATGTTTATGAGTGAATTCAGTCAGCCAGGGCGCACACTGAACAAAACTCCGGTGCTTCAGCGATGACTCATCTGAACATCTCTGATTGGCCATTGTTGCATTCATAAGCTCAACAGAATCGTGTGTGGTTGGTTATAATGCGCAACGCTGTTAAACGCGTAAAAAGAAATATCATGCAACATGAGCAGATCTAAATTTAATGCCGTAATCCACACTTTTCATTTCATTTTCATCTTCACTTTAATCGCGACATTTGTAATAGATTTAGTTTAATTGCACAGGAGCACATTTGTCCAGTTTGGTGGCATCTGCCCCAAGCCCCCGTTAATTTCCAACCCGTGGCCAGGGGAAGGGGAACATTACCCAGCCTTGCTCCGCCTATGCACCCACCCCAAAAATGTCATCATTTACTCACCCTATAAAGGAAAAAGGACACAAAAACTCCAAAGAAATAGTCCACGTGACTTATGCAATATATTCAAAGTCTTCTGAACTTACTCAAATGATGTTTGATTTGTTAGGGTTAGGATTGTGAGTCAATCATGAATCAGGTGATTTAGTTCACAAAGCACCCCTCTGAATGATTTGTTCATAATTTAGTCATCCTTAACTTTTCACAGCAGTCGGGTTTGGATTGACAGATTGGCTAAATGATGTTGAAAAAAACAATGATTTTTTTTTTTAGGTGAAGTATTCCTTCAGTGAGTGATCCTTACTTCTTAACCTATGTTAGTACAACATACTGTACACAAACATGAACCCGTTGACACTTTTAAAGCATAGGCTAATTTTACCTAGTCGTATAGGCCTATGACTTCCTCTTGCAGTGGCCTATGCCTCTTTGTCAACTAGACTAGAGCAACAGTCCAGAAATAGGTGGTAGAGAGTGGTTAGGGCGTGCGTGTTAAGTACATCTTAAAAAGTCATTTCAGACAATAATGGGTAGTAGTGTGTGTTCAGACGCCCTCTTCTTGCACAATTTGACGCTGCAGAAAGAAGCGAGCCTGGGCTGTCTGTCCTGTTTTCAAGCTCAGCCAATCCTCTATGTGCGAGGGGCTTCAGCATCATGATATTTAACACACCCACCCTGAACATACGACAGAGGTATTTCCTCAAGCGCCTGTCAACGGGCGAGCATCACCTTCATATGAGCTGGATGTTCAGCAAGAAACGCTGAAACTTTCTCCAAAGATCACATTTGTCGACGGAAGGAGCTGCGATGCCACACTTTCTCGAAACCTGCCAGGACTGCCATGCGTCTCATCGCTTTCAACGACTGAACAGCTTCGATTTGTACCGGATAAGAAGAGCGAATGAACTTGTGCAGCTGTGAAAGTGATCTCGCGCGTTGTGTGAATAGCGACAGATGTTTTCTCCGTACACTGAGGACCGCGGCATCGCGAACACGCACTTTTGTGGATAATTTCTCTGACGAGGCTTGACTTAATTATAGGCTATTTCGCAAATATCTGCAGCTATTAAATGTTAAAATAGACTATGAGCCACTGTGTCGGAGATTGTTCTCACGTCTCATCAACTGACTGCACGGGAGGAATTTAATCGCGAGCTCACGTAAATAACGGGATTATTGTTTCGCATGGATGTGGATGAGCGCTTTGCTATATAAATCCTTCTTTCTGCCCTTAAACTGGCAAATGAAAACGAAAACGTTCCATGTGTTCTTCTCATAAAATCGGGAGCCCGTGTTTTATATACTGTTGGCGATGTAGTGCGCTTGCTCACTTTTATCCCTGCCATTCCAAACAAGTCTTTTCTCGAACAGGAGTCCCTGAAGATGATCCTCTTTCGAAAATTCCGCGTCTTGATTCTGATGGTGTTTCTTATAGCCTGCTCTATGCACATTATGATAGACTTGTTACCGAAGCTGGAGAGACGGAGCAGTAGCGCGTGCTCGTGCTCACAAACACCCAGCGAAGAGCCGCAGAACTGGGCTAAGCATCGAGCCAAGCCGGGATCAGAGTCCGGCTGGCCTAATAAACACACACTCAGAATACTTCAAGACTTCAGCAACGAGCCGAACTCAAACCTGTCCTCTCACTCGCTGGAAAAGATCACCGTTGGGGAGAAATCTGAGGCTCTGAAAAGATTTGAGCAGTTGACAGGTGACGAGAAGAGGCACGCGACACGGGACTCTACCTTCAAGAACGCAGTTGTCAAGGGTTCGAGGCTCTCTGCGCTATTTGAGCATCCTTTATACACCAGGCCATTGCCTCCTTTAACAGACGAAGACACTTTGTTCAATGTCAACACTGATATAAGATTTGACCCTAAAGCTGCAGAGAACCCAGAGTGGTAGGTTGAGAATCTCAGTTTTTTTTTCTTTCTCTCACACATTAAAACACCCGCAAGACTCCTAAGTGCCTACAAATAATCATGTTTTCCCCAAATAATGTTGATTTCCCAATGATGATGATGATAATAATAATGAAAAAGTAAGATAAAAGTGTGAAAAAAATTGTTACAGTTTTTTATATTATTATTAAATATTATATATTTTTAAATTATAATTATGCATTTGTTCTTGAGAATGTAAATTAAAACACCTCATGGAGTTCAGAACAACATATGCGTCATCTCTGAAATAGCACAACATTCATTGCATTTGGGACATGTTGTCTTTCCGTAGGAATGGGGAAGGTAAAGATGGGAATTATGCTCCTACGGGGGAGATGTCCTCAGATTCCTACCCAAACTGGCTCCGCTTCCACATTGGGATCAACCGGTATGAGCTTTACTCCAGACACAACCCGGTCATTGATGCAATGCTGAAGGATCTGGTGTCACAGAGAATTACCAGTGTTGGTAAGGCAATATTTGAAATTACACAATAGAAGGATTAGAGTTAAATCTTAAACGGGAAGGTGATTTTAGGATTGCATGCACTGGTGCTGTTATGATGCATGCTTTGAGATCATCTTTTAGTGCTGCTCTTCCTAACAGATTTAAATAGATTAGTTGAATGAAGTTTCTCCAAGATAATGGTTAGACTCTTCCTGCACTCTGGCTGCAGATGCATCAATAAAATTGGACTGAGATTCATTGGTAGTGGATTCCAACAGAGTAAATGAACGAGAAGAGCGTGCAATTTAGACTTAATCAAACGCCATGCTGTGGAAAAGTATCTCCAGATACATATCGTCAAGTAGACTTGTACTTGATGGGTTGCATTTATGTGAAGCCCCAAGGTCAATATCTCAACTTATTACACGGCTCTCCTGAATACTTGATTCTGATTAGACGATCGCTGTATTCTGTGGTCAGAATATTTTTGTATAATGACCACTAAACTGTATATTTGACCAGTGTCCCAACAACCAATAACTCTCACATCAACACGAGCTTCTCTGCTTAAAATGATAAAATTATTCCTCAAATCAATATTTAATGTCCTTTTATTTACTTATTTACTAAGTAGCAATGTAATAAGGGAGATGATGTACAGTAACCCAGTCATTATCACAAAATAAACCCATTTAGCATGATCTAAGCCCCTCTGGTTCATGTCGGGGTCTGGATTTATTTTGATTTATATTGACTGGTTGACTGTACATTTATTCCTCATTAATATACTGTTTAGGGTTTCTAAGAACTCTAGAAGAAAGTTGCATGTTAATCTGCAGTGATAGTGATCTTTAAAAAACTGGCATGGCACAACAAGCCTCTTAAGTGACCCAAGGCGGTGTTTTCCTTCATCTGTTTGTGATTGCCTGCATATTCATTACAACACGCTTTAAAAAAAAAAAACGTCTTATCAGCTTCCCTAAAAGGACTGTGTGTATGTCCAAAATACACTTGTTGCCTTCGTTTTTTCAAGCGTTTTTAATCAAATACAAGACAAGAACCATCTGCAATGACAGGAAAAATAATTTTCTTAATTGGATTTTCACATTGTTATTGCTACTTGCATAATGAGTCTTATCTTAAATGGTTCATTGTAAAAAGGCTTGATATGAAAATTTAGCATCACTCTTATTCTCTCTGTAGCAATGAAATCTGGAGGTACGCAGCTGAAGCTCATCATGACATTCCAGAACTATGGCCAGGCGCTCTTCAAGCCCATGAAGTAAGTGATACAGTACGAGGAAAATGATGATGCAGTTGTTAATTTCCCCATGGTTAATTATTATGTTTGTGTAAACATCTATAATCTTGGCATCAGTGTTTTTTTTTACATCTTTATTGGTTACTGCTTCTATGTTCCAGGTTTAGAATATGTCTGATTGTCTTAAGGGAATTTTTCCATTTCTATATAGTTGTCTGTACCCTGTTATTAAATCTTCTGACGGACACCATTGTGTGGTGCTTTTAGCTCAGCTGCTCAATTCTATTTGGGTACGTCTGTTATTATAATTGGGTGATAATATGCTTGGATCAGAGCTATTGAAAAAGGATTTATAGTCGTCGGCATAGTGATCCACAATGGATGGATCATATCCCTTTTGAAATGTAGGTTACAAAGGGAGGGAGGTTGTTTTTATGGATTTTGACAACCCCTCAGGGCAAATAATAGTTGCCTCCCTGTAATTTTTCCGGATCTATAAATGTCAGCAAGTAAATCTTTGGTGTCATTGTCAGATTCAGAGCAGCAGCCCCTCCATTTGCATGCGCCTTAATTATCGGTTTCACAGACACTGCTTATGCTTTCTGTGGCAGATTAGTATTTAATGTCTTAGTGGTCTCATTGCTATCATTGAGATTCACTCTGTTTCCTCAATGGTTTTTCATAGCACCAGTTAAAGAGTAATGTATAAAGGATGTGGGCCTTGGTGACTGAATCATTACTAATGTGCCGGTCGACCGTATGTCCTGCCAGCTGAGTGCCTTTATTGGCCATGAAGCTGGTGTTCAGACTGCAGACATCCTGTATGCATGGTTTAGCATTGACAGACTTTATTATGAGATGCTTTTCCGTGTGTGAGTTGATCAGTACTCTTGAATTTTATGTAGATGAATGTATAATGCCCATGCTGTTTTTCTGTATTCTAATAATGTTTTCAGAATTAAGGAAGCCAATATATGTGGCACATAAATATGTCCCAGAGGTTCAGAGATGTTCTTGGGGAGTATTTAAGGAGAGATAGGAACAATGGGTCTTTGGTGACAAGAAGCTGATAAATGTTATTAGAGAGAGTAGATCTGAACCCAGCCTGTTCCTGCTATAATTAGCACAGACCAACAAAGGCACACTAATTTCTTCTAGCCACAAGCTAAACACTTCACCCCCATCTTGCTTTTTGAGATCATCTTTTCTCTTGTGTTCTCCTTTTTCACTGATAGTTTGCAACCCAGGACTTACTCGACCTTCATTTTGTAAATAATTTTTTCACAAACTGATTTGTCTACGTGCTTTCCATACCTTCCCTGACGAGTCAGGCAAGGACGTGTTCTTGCAACATGTGTGGTTTAGCAGAACAAGTTTCTTTCATTTGATTCATGCCTGCGTGCCACACACTCAGATCTTCCTTTCTTACTGTACAGCCTGAGGAAATTGCCTAATCAGCTTTAATTCTCTTAATCATATTAAATGCAATTCTATCATCATTCACTTACCGTCATTCCAAGCCTGTGATTTTCTTTTAACCGTGGAGCACAAAAGTGGATGTTTAGAAGAATGTTCACGCTGCTCTTTTCAACACCGTGAAAGCACATTGTGACCAGGGACTCCAGAAATAAGAGAAAACCACCATAAAATGGTGAAGGGGGAAGGTGAATAACAATTTAAAGGTCATATGGTGCTTTTTAAAAATCATTTTTAAAGCTTTACAGTCCATAGTTGCCATTCGCTTTCATTGTATGGAAAAGAGCTGTCACAAAGCCATGCCTAACATCTCTATTTAAGATCTCCAAAATAAAGAAAACCATACAGGTTTAGAACAACATCAAATGTTTCCTTCACTTATTCATTTGTAGCGTGTGTTTTTGGCAGATTTAATTTGGGCTCCTGAAAACTGGCTAGATTGTTAGATAATTCACTATGATCATTTGATAGAATAAAAGCACTTTGATTGGTCTCAAAAGCAGGTAATTTTGTCTGGAATTCTTATATGGCTTGTCAGCTTAAGCATCTGCTTACGCAGAAGTACTTAGGCTATTTAACAGAATTAATGAAACTCTATTGATAAATGCGTGTGAGTGGATTAGTGGGTTGACAGATCAGAGGGGTTGATAGTTTTTTAAGAACTTCCACAGTCCACAGTCAAGGTTTAATAAAGAAAAGATACAAGAACTCAGTGTAGGAGAGGCGAGCGCTTCTAAGTGCATCATTGCTCAAGCACTATTTAAAGATAAAGGAGATTTCAATAGCAAACAGACGTGTCTTAAAGGCTGCGCTCTGAGGCATGAAATGCTCCAAAATGGATCTTCCTCTGTCCTGAGACATAGAGGCAAAGGGAGAACAACACAATTGTTCTCATCTGCTTGTGTTGTTTGACATCTCCTTGTAAATATCACATGATAAGTATATGTCTAACACAGACTTTGAGCAGTGATTCTTAAATGGGTTTGCTTGACCCAGATTGGTCCAGTACCAATATTGATTATTGTAAAAACATTAGCAGAAATACCCTTAAAATCAAATATTAAAATTTGTTATTATTACTATGAGCTGCATAGGTCCAACAATATGCAAAATGATTTAAAAAAAAGATTCTAATTTATAGGTATCATTTTTGATTGTCTTCAATTTTCGACACAAAATAATTCATGGTCGACACAAATGAAAACTATTCAACATAGGAACATTTTTTTTACTAGCTGTAGTTTTGTTCTTGGCTTTTGGGGCCTATTTGGTGTATTTATTTTGTTAGCCTAACTATGGTTAAATATACAGTTAAAGTTCATTTTATTATATATAGTTTTTTCCCTGTTGTCCACATCCACCAGTTGAGAACTACTGGAAGAACATCTCACACAGCTGCATGACTTTGGGTTTCAGAGAGATTGAATGAAAAGAATCAGACGAATGAGTGTTTGCCTGTTATCTCTCACTCATGAAACCTCCATTAGTGTTGATCCACCATGTAGCTGACTGCAGCCCCGCTTCCTCAGAAGCACTGACATGCTTCATCCATAATTAGCTCCTCCCTGGTCACACTAGACGGGATTTTTGGACAAACATGCTGTCATTGATTAAACTAATCTGATGAGTCATTCCGGTGCTGCTCGCTTAGCTGTTTGACAGATGAGAGATGGTAATGTAAAATTTATACTAGAGGTATGAATTTCACCACAGACGGTACAAGGAGAAAGAGATGGGCCTCTCAATGGGAATCCAAATGCTAAATAGAAGTCCAAGAGATGTTACAAGAGCCAGCTTTTTGATAGTTGTTTATTCTAGAGCATCTGTGTGCAGAAGTTGTTTTAATACAATATACTAAAAATGTATGTTTACTATAGTTAGTAATATATATAATATATTATATTATGATATAATATAATTATTTTTGAGAGTTTTTTAGAAAGAGTTTGCTACTATTTAATTTACTTAATTAAAGGATTTAAATGGATATAAGGAAATAAAGAAAAAAATACAGAAAACAGTAAAAGAACTAGACAAATTTGTTAAAAGTAATCCATTTTCCATTTCCATATGTTGCAAATGTTTCTTTATTTTCAATTCAAAGTGAAGAAAGTTGCGTTGTTTACATCACTGGATATTATTTTGTCTATCTTATAACATTTCTATTGTAAAACAGTTAGCCTATATGAAATGTTTATTTGTGTGCATCTTATCTCACAATATAGGCCAGTGGGTATCTGAAGTAAATATCAAAATAAAAGCTTTTATTTCATAATGCCTTGTTGAAATAAAGCCAAAAAGTAGGAAAAAAGCTCCCAGCGACCTACCTGAGAAGCCTTATGCTGTGCAAACTTTGGAAACTTTTGAAAGTGTTTGCTGTAACATTAACTAGGGCTGGACTGGCTCTGAAAATAGCCTAAGCCCAATTCTGGCCCATCACAACCCAAAGCAAATAATCCCCCACTAAATGTATCACTTATGCATATAATACAAACTACTGTCTGCTGTACTTTCTAGTTTATATTGATTTTGTACTGTGTGTGAAATGTTTACATTGAAAAGGTGGCACAGTTAAATTACACAACAAATGAAAAAATATATAAAGCTGAAGTGTGTCATTTTTTATGTTCAGAAACAAATACTTTCTTCTATCCCAGATTTATATAAATAAGTCAATTGTAGGCTGACATCTGACAAATGTTAACACTGCAGTCCTGAGCATCCCAAACACAGCCACATGGGCTTAATCATTGAGTTTGTGTGGGACTATCTGCTTGGTTGACCAGTAGCTGACTGGACAAAGTCACTCGACCTGTCCATCTGAAAAATACCCAGTGGCATTAACATGTCTTTATGCGTTTTGTTTATGCCGTTTAGTAGCCACAGGATCTTGCTAAAAGCATCTTAGTTATTCATGTGGTTTATACTAATGCTAGATTTTCAGTCACAGAAGCGTGTGCTTCAGGGGTGTCTGTCATAATGCATTACTCTCTGAATGCTCTGAGGTTTTGAGTATCCACAAGGTTAATGATATCTACCCTGACAGTATAGTTTCCACAGATCTTTTCCTATCGAAGATATGACTCTCGTGACAAAATCTTCCATAGTACAGAGTCAGACCAGAGCTCACTCTTATTTATAATGCTTCTGCTTAGTTCTTGCCTTGTCTTTATCAAGGCCTTTGGCAAGACTTGTAAAAAGGGATTCACATCAGCTTAATGCACCATGAAATTCTAAAACTGCATGTAGCTTTAAAGCATTTATTTTCTTAGTTTTTAGTTGTGTTTACAGTGTTAATTTACTAGAGAGAGGTAATCGATTTGACCAATATTGACATTTTAGGATAATTTTTTCTACTGAATTGATAATTGATTCTTCAGTATTGAGACCACTGATAAATAAAAAAATCTTTTAAAAAATAATTTAGTGAATCTCCAAAGATTTGCACAAAACAATGCCCATGTGTGTTCAAAAAGATGTCTTCACACGTGAAGTAACTTAACCATTTTTTACAGCCATTAATTATCAAGTAAGAAACATGTAAC